GTTGTTCGAGTCGCTTTGTTTGGCTGATAATGGGACACAACGTTTAGAATCTAAAATGATCTGTTCTGACGATGTGGCTTCGCAGCTCAGCTGGTAGGTTGTGTTTCCTGTCACTTAGTTGTAATTGCACATTCTTCTTGCAACTCAGTCTTTTTAGAATAGTAGGGAATAAGAAAATGTTACAATTTAACTTTTGGACGTGCTTCTATTTTCGAGATTCACGTAACTCAACTATGAGCTACAAACTATGAACAGGTGCAAAATAATGAATGGTCACCTNGACGAAAGTTGTTTGATAAGGTGTACACGAATAACACATTTAAACATCATCGACGCACAGAATTCACAAGTAACTGGAACAAAGATTGACTTGTATCACATCAAACATGTAATAAAGCAGCCCCCAAATTTTGCTCGAACTGTGTGAAGCAAACACCAGTGTCTATATACTCTTCTTGTAATTATACCTTTACTGCTCTTTACGGGGATTTCAAATCAGGAGAGTGTGACGGAAAAATCCAGTAACCTTAGAATTTGGTTTAAAAATTGGAATCCTGTCACATACACCGAATGTAAAGGAGTGTTATCCCGTTGGAAGACTGCGTTTAGCACGATTTTTGGATGTATAAGGACGATAGTACGATATTTTTAGACTGTATACATGTATGTATATATCAAACTTCGAACAGGGTGCTGGTGACGAATTGGGTTAGTCGCTGTCATCGGCGTACTTTGGGCCCTATGGTCCGAGGTTCGAGTCTCGCCCTACACCACGCAATTTTTGTGGTAAGCTGCTTTACTGTCGTCTGGTCCAACACTATGCCTAACCTATCGGGCCCTGTGCGATTCGCCACTCCAGGTCCCTAGGCTTAGGTTACCGGTTCCATCACTGAACGAAAGGTCTTCGTCTGCTGTGCATCACATAGGTGTGTCATAAGGAAAACCAGCTTATCCTCTTTCCACGTGAGGGGACCGCAGTCCATAGCCAAAGCCAGCGCTCGTTGGAAGCCACAGTCAAAAATTTCCCCACATTGTAGGTCGGATAAAATCTAACGTGTCACGACCGGCCATGTGGCAATGCACATTAGTGAACATTTGAACTCTTGTTGCATTCACTGTTTCATTCGTACAGGTTTTGTGTAACATGCTAAAATTTAAAAGTACGCTGGTTTCCCGTCTACCAAACTGACTTGGTGATCCGATCAAGGATGTTTGCGTTTTGACCAAAACCAAATCATTGACTGTCGTCTCCGGCAGACCATTCATTAATTAACAACCACCTGTGTATATTTTGATTTTATCAAAATACGACAGAGAATTAATTCAAAAACTATCCCATGGTTGCTTGTGTAGCGCACTAAGCTGAGACACAGAACCCAGGTAGCCATCCTACCGGGATTTCGCACACACTGTAATACAAGTATCACAACGGAACATCTGTTACCATGTTTTTTTCGCATTATTGTAGAAACGTTTGATAAATATACCAAATGCCAGGAGAAGTTGGTGAGGTTGAGGGACGAACTTGTGTTAAATGTTTTGGGCTTTGGGCTTTACTACACAGTTACACGTCCTCGGATCACGAATTAATTGCATACGAAAAAGATGAGAACAGGCGTGCCTTCTAGATTTTCAAATGGGGTAAAGTACTTTGGATGGTTCATTGAAGTTCCGCGAAGAATACACTATGTGTTGGGTTTGTGTTCTACATATGCGAGCGCTCTTTTTCTCGATCTCCCACCTGAATAGAAGTGACTTAGTGTGAGAAAATCACGATGGACTAATTACTAATTAGAGACTTCATTCGGGTCTGATGCATTCAACGGTCGTGTAGATAATCAATCGATCACTGTCCCTTCGGCCGACTTGGTGCGTCTGGGTTTGTATTTTACCCATGTTCATTAGATCAACATTTCCACACACACCCCATGTATTGTGCATGCTTCGGAAACCGCGGGCAACGAACAATGTAAGACACGTGTTTCGTTCAACCGAATTAGGAGTGATGTTTTTTTTGTCACATTGGTCACCTCCTCTGTGTTGATTTCTTTCTCCCGCTGGCTGGCTGGCCGGTCGGCTCGCTCAAATTTTCCCCGTCGTACAGGCACAGCTATTGGCTCAAATCAGCGGATGCACGGTGTCTGAGAGAAGTGGAACGTATTTGAACGAACTGGCTGCTTGTTTGCGCAGTGTTTCTGCCACCTCGTTGGAGGTTAATCAGTGGCAAATGCACATGCTACGTAGCAGACGAAATTCCTCACGACGAGTACAACTGGAAGCAATTTATCAAAAGCGATTCAGTCCCCACGTAAGTTTATCTGTCTGTCTATCTATCCGTCTGTCTTTTTATCTATCTATCCGTCAGCTTTCGACATAAGAAATGCTAAGCTACTAATAATACCGGTGGAAATCACGGGTGTGAGCGTTATTCAGTCCTTTCCATGTGTTTTTGGCTAACGCGCCTGTTTGAAAGTTTCTGAATGGTGCTTGATGCTCTCACAGAACAATTAGCACATGAGTGCGAAAGAATTGCCCAAGCGTGAATGACTGAGACACGGATTGCCGAAGATTACTAAATGATGTAAGATTGTGCCCGTGTTTTCTTCATCAGAAGGGAAAGTGATAAATCGACACATTAACAGGGCTTTCCTACTAGATAAACAAACAAGCCACTGTTCGATAGGAAATGATGATGACGATGGAAAGTGGGAACATTGCATGATGAGTTCAGGTGTTATGTAAGATAACATCAGTAAGGGTAGTAATTGTGACAAAAATAGCGAAATACTTACAAATGGGAGCCAAAATATCTGCCATGTTATTGATGAACGCTGACGGACATGTTGTGTCTGAGACACCCTTGACGAGTTTGTTTGATCAGATTACGATTGCCTCTGCAATGAGTATTGCACGACGTGCATAGGCAGGCGTTTGAATTTGTGGATAGATTGAAATAAGTCAGGAATATAAGCACAGCTGATGGTCTCCATTACACGAGTAGTGGTCACATTTGCGAGAGTGTTGGGTATTTCACATTCTAGCTCTCCCTCTCTCTCTCAGTACGTTGGTGCAGTTGAATCCATTTGATTCGATAAGTCTCATTGGTATATGCGACTTTAGTTACCCTCCATTGTTACGCTATATTTCCATTTGCAAGGGTAAAGTTTAGTGCAACTGAGGTAGATCATATGTGTATCTAACTTTGAGAGCCACGTTTGTGATATGATACGCAAACTGTTGTTTCTTTCTCTTGTACGAGTGATCAATGGAACTGATTTGCTGTGCCGATTTCTCTCACTTGTCTGTTACATGCTTCCACCCCCTCAAAACTCAGATTCTTCAATCTGCTGGCTACTATTATGACATTCCGTTCAAACCAGTTGTCAGTGCACCACTGCTACCGCAATGGCCCTATGAAATCTTGGCCTCCGGGAAACTTGACATTCGGCACCGGATTATGCTGGGAGTTAATCAAGATGAGGGTGAGTTACCGGCAGCCGTGACAAAGAAAATCTCTTCGTAACTAAGTCGTTTGTTTGCTCAGGTTCAAGGAATCATCGAGATAAATAGGTGCAACACTTTCTCTTCCAATTAAAAAAGCATACTGATGGTTTATAGTTTAACTGCACTTTACCCCAAGCCGATGCGTTTAGACAAGCCGACACCATAGGTAATGCGTTGAAAGAGTTCGGCAAAGTGAAGTCAGTTGATATTCGTTTCCGCTCATAAAGAGCCGACCTCAGATGCATCACTAAGTGACTTTGAAACTAACCAAGTTATATTTGTCGTATTGAGTAACAATTCCTACTGATAGTTCACTCAGTACTATCTGAGTTGCTTCCTTGGCGCACTGTTACCTCTTAATTTGATCAATTTTATGATTTCACCGTAATGAACAATCTTCAAGAGCACGAAGAAAGAGAGAATAAATTTTTTGGAGAGGTAATAGGAAAGATAGGCAGTCGCGAAATATAACATACGTCATGGTTGCAGATCTTGTGCGCACACGAAAAGTCCTGTTAGAATTTATTTACCTATTGAAGGCCAGAAGCGCATGAGGTACAAAGTACCACAAGAGCAAAAGATGGACTGGAATGCGAATTCATCATTTTCACTACTGATTCAAATGTATCAGATTAGAAGGTGATTTCTAAACCCCATCTAGTTTTACCTCACAACGAATGCGGTGAGATTCTCTGTAGAGTAGACATTACCCGGAGTGTTTATGATCTATGGTCCTCTGTCTTTGGTCGCTGCGGTGAGGGAATGCGATTTAGAATGAATTGGATGATAAAGTTTCAATTAAAACTAGCCCCTCAATCCAGTGTCATCCCGTGGTGATTCTGATGTTTGTTATGCAGCGATTGTGCCCATGTTACACGAATACCTGTGAACGGGGCTTTACTGAGCGAATAAATTCACACCGGATTATTTGAATGTTTTTGATGATTCTTGAAAGGTAGATAAACAAACGCTTTTGTTTACTCTGATATGCGGCTGATGGATAAGGAATCCATAAGGTTTACCTGGAACGATTGAAAAACGCGAATTTTTTTCGCAAATGTGTCAAAATAGGCTTATCAAACATTGTCTTGTCTATCATCTATTTCACCTGCTCTATGCGATCACCACGCGTGTTTGATTTCACTTTACTGGAATCGGAGACCTAATGGAAATTATTATCGTTTTCTGTTTGTTTCAAGTTTATTCGCATTGATTTGTTTTCGCATTTTACTCTCCGGTGTGCTCTCTCTATGTGTCCCCCTCCTTCCTCTGTCCTGAAGAAGAAAAAGAAGCTTGCTTCTCTGCACTGCACTAAGTTCTAGCACAAATATACGGCGGTCCGGAAACCAATTCCCCAGGAGTCACGATTTGTTATCGTTGTTTTTGTCGTATTCATTCTTGTGCCACAGGATGCGTGTGATAATACTTACATTCAAATTCCCGTGAGCGCATGTTGAGACACAAGGAAGACGGCAGCTGTATGTGTATGTGTGAAAGTGGGAGTGAGAGAGAGGGGGGGGGGGGAGCGCAAAATGGTGAACAGAATGAGAAGGAAAACGGAAATATATTTGCTATGGTTCATGTGTTTCTGCTCAAAACATCCATGCTCCGGTTGATGGTAAAACGAACGATTCAAATTTGGGGCACGAGGGAGGTGAGGTAGAGATGAAAGTGGTTTACTACTTTCCGTTTAGTGTTTTTCTCTGACGTGATCTATTGATCGTGAAATCCAAGAATCTTCTGGAATATTCACTTTACTTTACGAAAATTCGGCTCCGTGGTTTGTTGATAGCGCAAGCTGGTTGGATCTGCGATGCAGCACAAACTTTCGAGATGGTCACCTAACCCTTCGCAGTTCTCAGATGTTCATCATATTGTAAACCCATTCTTAGTCTTATAAAACAAAGCTACACCATGAGTGACATCTCCATAGCTTATTTTTCATTTAAAATAATATTTAACAATGAGAGATCAGCCAGTAAATGCTCATCATAGAACGCTACTCACTCTCGATAACTGACTAGTCAATCTATTATGCTTCACGTGCAGTTGCAGTTGGAAGCCTCTGGGTGGTAGAGTCGTTGGTTTTCTGACAGTTCAAATTCTACTACTACTACTACTACTACTGCTACTACTATTACTACTACTACTACTACTACTACTGCTACTATTACTACTACTAAGCATTACACATTTGGTAGAACATCAAAACACACACTTCTTTGCTCCGATCTTGTTTGGTCTGCCTTTTTTCTTACTCCGCATTTGCATTACAGTGTGCGCAATCAAAAATGCAATCGGGTTTGTTTATACGCGGTTACAGACTTTCTACGGCTGGCTGATATTTTTGAATGTAGAATATATGGTAAATTGGACGAAAATGGCAATTAAAGGATCAAACAGTTATTATCACAATGTTTAATCGGTAGTAACCTGAACTAGAGCTGTATTCCTCATTCTTGATTCGCCCCTCCTCCTACACCTTCTTCTGCTACCCCTATTCAAAACATAACGATGATAACCCGTAACTAAAATATTGCACCACAATAAACTAATATTGAATTCTCTCTCTCTCTCTGACACACACACTTTCACTCCCTATATGCATCAAATCGTCTCGTTCAACCGCCTCCGCCCCCCGCGATGTCTGTTTTCCGCAAAACCACCGCTGTCGCTCCCAGGCATGTTTCACATGATCCACAGTTTACGAAGTTACTTCAAACAGAATATGCAATGGCCCGTTATGCCCCGTCAGTTTGATTATGATGCTTCGATGATGGATCCGATGGACTTGCTCGCATTTTACATCATGGACGAAAATTTTTTGCACCCTGTACTGTTGCAAGCCACAGTATTCGAATACGAGGTATGCATATATTCAGCCCAATGTGGAATGACCGTTTTTTCTCTTCTTTGAAGAAGTTGCGGCAATAAGATAGACATCCCACAGCACTGGAATTCTGTGGTGACTATCCGCTTATCATGCCTTCTTGGAAAACATACACCAGTTACTTGAGTACGAAGAGTCCAGAGGGCGATGACCTTAGCATAGGATAAAGCTTATTGAACATAATTCTGGCAAACATTTTTACATATTTTTCAGTTCAATACATCGTGTTTTCACTGGTAGATCTTTTTGGAGAAAGGGGGTTGCTTTACTCACGGTGGGGCTATTGATTATTGAAAGAGATAGAGCATTCCTGCAATTAATATGGAAAAGTTCTGGCTACGCGACGCACATTAGGTAGCTGTTCCGTGAGTGAAAAAAAGTGGGGTGGAGAAATCACTAATCTCCAGGTAAATCCAAATACCGTGGATGGAATAAATGGATTTTTCCATTTCCATGGAACACCTTATGGTGTGTGTGGGGAGATAAATATTTTCTAATGTTTTCTCTAACCGTATACATGTGACACTAATCCTCCTTTATCAGCTTTGCTGTGGCACACGGTTTTCGTTAACCAAAGGATCATGTTACCGGTTGTAAGAAAAGGCACATGGAGAATAAAAACCATACAATCTTAGTATCATGTGACCTCTGGCTGGGAAGATGATTTCATTTTCGACGAAATTTCTACATTTGCGAAGACCGACGAAGAGTGCTGGAATTTCATTTGGTCTTTGTTCGGGTTCGTCAGCATCGTATATCACTTTCATGTCCCAGAACAATATCAGGTCAACTCCAATATCCTTGAATTCGAATGAGCTATGCCATAAAAGGTCTACGCTCAAGCTTGGGGCCGTTAATTTTGTAGCTCAGGGAAAGAATTTCTGGTCCAAACGTGACAATTCACAAAACAAACGAAACGGCAATCTACACTTTTTCCCTAACCCGTAATTCTTTTACTTGGACCAGTAGTCACTTGGTTAAGACCCGTAATTATTTAGCCTCGATCCACAATCCTTTAGCCTCTACTCTCAATGACGGTACTGCAACGTGCAATCAAAATGCGCTGCTCCTATAAGTAAAAATCCTAAATATAACACTACCGGTGTGTTTTTATGCGTTTATAAACTCTGACATCAGTAAAAGGTGGTAAAATAATGAAGTGAATGATTAGCGTTTCACAGTTGCATTTAAATAGGACTCCTTTTAAAGAAGTGTGCACATTAAGAGTTTGAGAAGTAACACGGATTACAGAATAACATATCTACACTACTGTCACCAATTTGTTCACACTGCAAAATTTGGCACAATTACTCACAGTCAGCTGCGCAGCACCGAATAGTCACACCTCATCTGTACACCTGATGATAAATGAACTTTTTCCTCATTCGTCGACCACAGAAGATTCCAAAACATTTCGATCCGAATCAATTGCATCGGCATGCATAAAGTTTGTGCGTTAGGCCAAAGGACCAGGGAACGAGGCTAAAGTATAATGGGTTTTCAATAAAGCTAGATAGAAAAAGGTGTAGTGCTCTTTTCAGACAAAATAAAAATTGGCTATCCTAAGCAAAATGTGTTAGAACCTGTGAGAAATCAACTAACTCCCAAAGAATGAGACTTACTCCGGTTTCTGAGACTGTACTTGGATTATGCAAAAAACGGTATACATATTTGAGGAAAGTTCTTTGTTTTGGATAAACCTGAGTAATCCAGTTGAAGATGTTCTCAGGACAATAATACAGTCTAAAAATGAATAGAGTGTACGATAAATGGAATGCAACTTAAAGCTACACAATACGGCGGAGGAAGACCGGTGGCGTTTGAATTACACATTCGTCTCACCATCGAAATTATCAGAATTTAAGGTGGATACAATTACTTTATATTCATAAAATCTATTACAATCAATTTCACTTTATGTGGAGCACACGTCAGTGCCATAATTAGCTTTCTAATAAGCGGTTTATATTGATTTTATGCTTTAATCACAAATATTTGTTCAAAAACTAAAGGTTCCATGGACTTGATGGTCTGGATTAAAAATCAATTGAGTTTCCCCAACGACTAGATTGAAATTGTCATCAACCGAACAACCCTCAGTCTGGCTTCAATAAAATGACAGAAACGGTTCAATAAAATCTCTAACAGGGAATACACACACACACACAAACACATAAACACACATGCAAATTGTGACCAACGAACTAACTTTATCTGCTCCATTCTTTCGCTCATCTCACACGCCCATTATTCTCACTTTAATTCTATTTCACTGGCGTAGATCCCCAGTCGCGCTTTGGGAAAGTCCGGTTGGAATGCGAACGAAGTACTTCAAGCCCTGAATCAAGTTGGAGGGGATTATAACATCAAATGTCCAGTAGTTGAATTCGCCGACTTCTACTCCCGTGGATCTAGTGCCCAAGTACGTTTGGTAATTTATGTATTTTGTGTTAGGCTACTTGAAGCTTTAGTTAGTAGTGTAGTTAGATTTCAGCTCTTTGGTAATCAAGAAACCGATGAGTGGCGGAACGTCAGGACGGACTGAAATTACAGGCCAATAACTGTGAACCGATTTGAATTTCATGAGTTAAAAATAAGCCTTCCTAATTTCACTTCCTGCACACGTACAACGTACTCGATCAAAGTAATGAAACGCTGAAACCGAATTCAAAATTTTCAACCATTCTAACAAATAATATAACTCAGGTAATGGATGCTGGTAACAGTCCGTCTTTCGTGCATACGGAATATTTGCTTTCATATGTATTGAATATATCACCTAGCAGAGTAAAGACCGATTTGGAGACCTAGCTACGAACCAAGAGAACAAAATACCACCAAAATTTCGCAATAGTGTCGCGAATTTAGATGGTAAATGTTTGGATGAGCCCAAAGGCACCGGGCACTGTTGTTGTTGTGTCTCAAATGTTTTATGTTAAGTTGGATACTCATCCCGCTCACGGCCATTCGAAGCTGAACTTACGACAAATTAGCGAGAGGCGAAAAAGAAGAATGAGTTTCCACAATTGTTTCGTTAATCCGAATAAAACAACAGGTATATATATATATATATATATATATATATATATATAATGATGTACACTTCACGAATTAGTTCCTTCGTAAGGCCGGCCTCAAAACGTAGGACCGTATTTCGAAACCTACCCGATGAATCGCTACCAACAAAAGCGATGTGATACATTCTCCTCCTAAATTTTATAATGACCTTTGAACGAACTTTTTCAATTCAAGATGAAAAGTACACGCCTGAGCCACAGAGACCAATCAGAAAAACGAGAAATAAATATTAGTCTGTTTTCTAAATCTACGTTTTTCCTTGAAGTAGCAACGACTTACTGGATCTCGTGGCGTCCGAACCGGTTTCCATGGTATCAACCACAGATAGTTTGGGAGGTTATTCTGAGCTTGTTCATCGGATGAAACGGATTGAGGTCAAACCAAATCCTTCCTGCCTCTTTGCCATTAAGTCAACTTGGGTGAACACATCTTTAAGGTCAGTTGGATGGGATATTCGACAACTTAACCGCATTTAACAAGGTTACATAGTTGGAAGCATTTCAAAGTATGCTAGAAAACCTAAAATTGTTCCTCAAAGGTGTAAAATTTAGGTCACAATTCCGTCAGGCCAGCAGTAGTGGGTTGCGTTTATCAAATATTTTTTAGAACATCACGATTCATTGATCGGTCATAACTACAAAAAACTGTTTTCCCCCAAATGTATTTTCAAAAAGAATAACTACTAATACTAAATCGGTCACTTGGATTTGAAGTGAGATATAATTACAGCATACGATTTATGTTCTGAACAATTTGAAAGCAACTCTACGGACAAAAAGAAATTGCAAATGTTCACTGAGAAGGTTAGGTAGCACAACGATTGATCGCAATCACGTTTGTACGCCTGAGAGATCTAGATTTGGCAGCAAGTTGTCTAACTGAACCACACAGTAAATTCTAAATACGATTCAAGTAGAAGATACCAAGCATGTTTCTATGAATCAACTGAGAGGTAACCACTTTACCGACGACGCACTGCCTCGTGGAACAGAAAGCAAGCTTACCTGATCGTGTGCAACTACTGAAACTTACTGATGTGATTTCAACCGATCTATGAAGGAGAAAAAGGAAAAAATGTTGCATAAAACTTAAAACTCCTTGAGAACTTCAATCCTACAATTCCGTGGTTATGCACACAAACGTGGCAACTTCCTACCGGGAGTTATCCCGGATATAAACCATTCAAGGTTATGCTACCTGTTTATTTTTCAAATGAAGATAAGGAATATTTGTTGTCGCGTGTTTTCCAGTTGTCTTGTATCCATGCCCCATGCGCAAGCGTCAAAACATTTGTTCTCACGAGCATTCTAACAATAGACTGAGCTCGCGGAAAAAAATTCTGCATGCTCTACGTTAGCCGTCAAACACATTAATGCTGTCTACTGTGTCACATGTTCAGTCAGGACTCATTTGCAAATATTGAACACAGTCCTTTAGTTCAGATCTCAGGTGAATTAATTTTGCATTAAATATCGCAACCTTTGCACCGATGAAGTTCCATTTCTAATTTTTGTTTGATACTGCACACAGAGTATGCTATCGTTAGTACCGCTTTTAATTAACGAAATGTATTCGTTTACTTTGCTCGAATACACACACACACATAGGTTTTTCTCTACTCATTCGAGCATCGGACCGAGGCACTTTCGTGGCCTGAATGGACTGGGGTGATGCAAGGTTTCGAGGCCGAGTACATTTTCGGGGCCCCGTTCAATCCGGATTTTCAGCAACAGTTCCACAATTTCACCGAGGATGAGAAACGTTTGAGCGAGGAAATGATGCGTTGTTGGACCAATTTTGCATCCACGGGGTAGGTGGGCAAACGCACAGAAGCACACACAGGCCCTGGCACGTGTGTGTGTGTGTGCGTGCAGGCGGGCGGGCATACTCCCATTCCGATCAAGTGGGGCGTACTCACTCAATCGGAATGTTTTCTTTTTACTACTAACAACACGGAATGCCTGAGCGTTTGTCTCTCTCTTGTATATGCTAACTAACATGATGAAGCTGTGTCAAGCTCGGTAGACAAAGTGAAACTGACAGTTATAGATGGGCATTCGGAGGTCTGAGACTGATAGCGTGTTCGAATTCTTAAGTGTTGGTTACCGTTGAATTCCTTCTATTGAATAACGCTTTATTCGGTAACTAAGGTAACGTGAATTCGAATGCACTAAACTGTATGCATTTAGGATTCTGTTAATGCAGAAGAAAAGCCAGACTTTTGATTTTTTCGACTAAAAGAATGGCATTCAAGGTTTTTCGCGAATTATCGTTCCGACAGTAACGAAGGACAATACAGTTCACTCTATCAACTCCGCTCAAATACTTCTTATTAAATGAGGTCTTCTATGGGTACACAGTGAGTTAAAATGTGAATGTTTTTCATCACACCTAAGGTGTGACATGCGTTAAAGAAATTGAATTCTAAGGACCTACTATCTGACTGAGGTAACTGGAAACTTAAGGTCCTGGAATTACCAACGGTCTCAATAGGATCAGTATAGTGACTAGTTGAATGATAACTCGACTGTACAATAAGTGATGGGACTCCAACCCAGAACCACAGCTACCGGTTCGCGTTAATGACAGCGATTCCTACCACCCAATATATTTCATCCACTGCATAATAAGTATAGATCACTGATGGTAGGTTAAATTTCGAAATTTTGACAATCAAGTGCACTACCATGAAAAGCGGATCCAATGTTTCTTTGTTTACAGATTATTTAAATAGGAGTAAACCATGGTTATTACCTTGGAAATATCCTTATACACAGGTTTTCCTAAGAAATTGAATAACTATTGCAGCATTGCAGCTCAGACTTCGTGCATGAAATCCGTCAGATAACAACACACCAGAGGTTGGGAGTACATGAAACAATAAGTAAATATCAGCGAACCACACTGCTCAGTTCATCTCATGCTGCTCTAACGGTTCGGTTGTAGGTTTGTTTACTGGAAAACCTCTTTTTATGAGCTAATCGATAAGTATCATAGACGAACAAGATGTATAATACGGACGAAACTCCAGTCCGGTCCAGTTAGAATGTATGATTCGTGGGTTAACTGAGGGTTGTGTGTGTGAAGGTGAATTCCGCAGGATGGTACGTTCACGTATGACCATGAATCTCTTGTCATTATCACAAGGAATTGCGAGGTGAATTGAAGTAAAAGAAATCAGTTTCTGCAAATTAAACAACAAAAAGATTTTCTCTCAACCAAGAACGAGTTGACTACGGTTTAATCGAGGACACTGGCTTCGTTCTGTTGTATCACCAGAATGAACAAGGTAAATCTGTGATTGAAAACATTGTGACCGCATTTCGAGCTTGCCTTTGTCTTACGGCACAAGCAGGATTCGATGCGCATTCGATTTGCACAGAATCGACGTTTGCCAAACGTTACACACACACACTGGTGTGATTAACACAAAAGATCTAAACAAGCGGTTCCGATGAATGCAAACATTCAGTACGCCCACTGATTCAATAATGTTATCATACTTTTAAAATATTTACCCTCCGTTTTGAGACGCCAATCGGTTGTTATGCTTGCAGATTTTTTCTATTCAGTTGGAAATATGTTTACCCAATGTCTTTTCACTGGGTAAAATGATGCCGTTAAGTGAAACCTATGTATGCCTAATGTGGGATTGAGTTTCAAGCCGATTATCAGAATTATCGCTGGATTTTTGATCCCTTTAATGAGCAGGGGAGGGTAAATATTGAAATGTGTTTGTGTTGGATTCTGTTAATCTTTCGTGATCAATAATTCTTCTCAGTTATTTGTAATATACTGTTTAATGATGAATGTTAGAAACAGAGGACTCCACAGCTGTTCGAACAGTTTATGTTTGGGGAAATGGTGCTCTAAAGCTTGAGATGGGGTATACTGAAATGACTGATTCCCGAATAGGATAGACGACACGAACGAGACGAAAATGCAACTAACCGTCACCGACTTTAGTTGGCTGTAGAGGGATTCACACCTGGTACCTTACGGCCTGGAATACACCGGTGACTCATCACATTTAATATAATATCATCTAGTTTAGAAAAAGGGAAACAAAACACTGTTGGTAATTGACCTAAGTCATACAAATAGTAGATGACCTGATATCGTTCTAAGATTTTGTTTATTACGCTTAGTCAGTGTGTTGGTCAATTGATTCGGATGGAATGGTGCGGGCGACCATAAGAGGTTGAGTAATTTCACAACTTATTCCGGGCCCACCACTGGGGAAGGGTAAGTAGACGAATTCCAACCGCCTTGTGGTGCTTCTGATGCGATTTTTAATCGGATTGGACCGCCGAACTAAAACACGGTAGACAGGAGGAAATACTTTATTTACACTCACTGTGTGGTCAGATACGACGCTGCTTGAAGCACAAGCGCTTGCAACAGTTTTCATCATCATCATCGTACAGCGAAATACAGTGAAGCGAACTTCACTGACCGCTGTCTAACTCGCAATGCATACAAGGTTAGTGGTAAAACGTAAGGTGGACAGGGGTTGGATTTGTTTTGAGGAAGGGAGAAGAAGATGAGCCACTATGGTGAACACACAGAGTACGCAATCGAACTCTGCATGCGTACCATTTCAAGCATTCTTCTGACCTGATAAGAAACGACAACAAGAACGCCACTGCTGCCGGTTCGCTGCCATATCCTTCAGTGTCCCCAACCAACCAGTTGTGGAGTCTTTCGGACCCCAACCTGGAAGGCGAGAGACACCTACTCTACCTAATGGTTCTGTGCATTTCTTCATGCCTCGTTTCCACGTCATCTGTTGACCTCCGCGTGCTTTCCTCCAGCCCGGATTAGCTACAGCGAATAAAGCGCGGTGAGACAGACGATGGCTGGGCATACGCAATACGTGCCCTAGCTACCGAAGCCTAGTAATCTGAATTCGGTATGCTATCAGGTTTATGCTTGACAGACTCGCAAACACACAACGGCTTACCTCCACGTTACTAACCCGTTCGCTCCATCCCACATGGGCTAAACTGCGTAAACACCGGTAATCGAAAACTTCTAGTCGATGGATATCTTCTACTCGCAAATTCACGGTCTCACAATCATAAAGCAGGACTGAACGAACGCTAGCACAGTATACACGACCTTTCAACTTCAGTGAAACGTCGCGTCTACGCCAAAGGTGTTTCAATCCTGCGTATGCTGATCGAACCTTGGAAATGCGGGCGGTTATCTCCTTTGCTGCACCACCGTCATTGGTCACGCAACTACCTAAGTAGGAAAAGTAATCCACCACAACTAAATCCTGGCCATTTAGTATCAGAGTGGGAGTAGACGAAACCTAGTCCTGCAGCAGCACTTGACACTTCGAAGGTGCAAAGCACATACCGAATGTGGCCACTGCACTTGTTAATCTATCAAGTGCACTTTGCGCGTCCTCCATACATTCAAACACACAGACGATATCATCGGCGTACTCCAAATCGCATAGCTTTTCTCCAGCTGTCCATTCAATACCTATGTTTTGGAGTCCCCTTAGTGCACTCTCCAGTATTTCGTCTACGACGAAATTGAACAGGAACGGCGAAAGAGGACACCCTTGACGAACGCCGCTGCTGGTGACGAACAGCCTACTTAGTTTGCTGTAGACCCTTACACGACCGGAGGTATGTGAGTGCAGTGACCTCAGTAGGTTGACGTACTTCTGGGGCATTCCTTTTAGAAGGAAGCCCATCAGAGCTTCGCGGTCAACTGAATCGAAGGCTTCTTTCAGGTCAAGGAACACCGCGATCGTTGGCCGACGGTGAGTATGACGAAGCTCAAGGATCTGAGGCAACGTAAAAATCTGATCAATACATCCACGGCCAGGCCGGAATCCGGCTTGCTGTTCACGGATGTTGGTCTCTCTTAAGGGCGTCAGACGTCGAAGTATAACCGA